TTTTTTTTTTTTTTACGTATAAACATTGGTTCTATGCACATACATAGAGTTGAAAATGGTAAATGGAATCTCAAATGTGCTTGCTTGACATGCGACAAGAAAGTATGGTTAAGCTGCTGTTTACCATATTTTGAATAAGAATTACTCTTACAATGTCTTTATGAACTTTTTGAAGCTTAAAAGTTTTGGTTACATTTATCTTGCATTGGAGAGACAGAAGTCTCTCAGGTTCTCAAGGTTTAATTACCAATATCTTCATTTGTATTTCAAAGATGAACAAAAGTCTTAAGGGTTTTTCGTGAATAAACAATGACATAATTTTAATTTTGGGTGAACTATATCTTTAAACTTTGTGTTAACATGAAACTAGTTTAAACTATGTGATCCCATTTTCACTCCCTGCCATAATAATATAAAGATGGTAAACCAAGCAAGAAATTGACAGACATTTTATTTCGAGAAAAGTCTAAACACAGAAATTGTCAGAAATACCTAACCAGAAGCTCTAGAACAGATCATGGTCATGAAAAACCTGGAAAGTAATATTAAACTAATAAATAATTGACATTTCTGTATTGTAATGAAATGTTTTTAGCAGGCAATACTGATTTGAAGCTTTTAAAGCTCATGATCCTGTTTAACTGCATTCTAAGCATTTTACATGATTTAAAAAAAATTGCTATTATGCCACAAATGCTGTCGATGTAACTTGTATTGCAAGATGAAAATTTAGTCCGTGCTTGCTTTAAAGGTGCCCAGAATATTCATATAAAAGCCTGATTTCTTCATACCTGCTAATATCTTCTTTTTGACAAAGTTGCTTAAGGTTGTTGAATCTTCTCAAGACCTACAGTTTCTGTACGGCACAGTTTACCCTTCCAGAATTCACTGTGCCTTCATTTAACTTGTGTTATATTGTCCTGATTAAAGAGTGTGAAAATTGCTTGAAAGCTCAGGAGCACGCCGATGCAATTCAAAGCCTTTATACGGCTAAGTGTAGATAATTGTACTTTAAATTGGGCGGACACTGTACATTTTAATTTTCATAAAGAAATAAGTGGTTCCTAAGACTCCCTTATTAGCTGTATAATTAACCCTCAACTATAGAGCTCTGCACTGAGTGCTAAAGGATGTAATGGAAGATGGAGACATTCAAAAACACGCGCTTCCATCATGCTGTTACACACAGCTTCATACTCTCCCCTTTGCCTTCTTTTAACTGACTGCTGTGTGGATACAGGAAATACAAGTAATTGTTTTTATAGCAAGGGGTTATGTTTTGCTCAAGGGCATATGCTGTGTGCATGTGAACACACACACACACGTTATGATACAGGGTAAATGTTTGTGTTTAGAGTTCTCTTGTGCTTCTTTGATTGCTTTAGCGCTGTGCGGCTGTCAATGAGCAGAAGGACACAATGTTCACATACATGTTGCGAGCGGCTCAGCAGCCCGGACAGGTAAACAAACCCAGTTTGTTCTAGTCTTCATGCTCTGAACTTTCATTAAGTGTATGTACATAGTTTATATGCAATATAGTCACACAGTTTGTGAATAAAGACACTCTATTTTCATTCCTGTACAGGCTGCCAAAATCAAGGCTCTGTCTGAGCTGATTCCTGACTTCACAGAGAAGGAGAATATATTTTCACATTTGGTGAAATGCTATGGTAAGACCACTGTTTGCATCAACACTGCTAGATATACAGTTCAGTAAGATTTATTATTTATTTATTCATTATAATTTTTTAAAATTCAGCATGGATGTGTTAAACCGCAGCACAACCCACGCAAGCTAGATAATTCCGCACACAGCTGCAATTCCAGGTTTTCAAACAGAGATGGTGACAAAGAGGCAAAACTTACGGACTGCAGCTTTAACTTTCTATTCATCAAAAAACCCGAAAAGAATTGGTTTTCACAATCATATTACGCAGCACAGCTGTTTTCAACATTGATAATACTAAGAAATGTTTCTTGAGCAGCAAATAAGCATATTAAATGATTTCTGAAGGATCCTGTGACACCGAAGACTGGAGTAATGATGCTGAAAATTCAGCTTTGCCATCACAGGAATAAATTACTTTTTTAAATATATTAAAATAGAAAACAGTTATTTAAAAGCGTAATAATATTTCACAATTTTACTGTATTGCTGATCAAGAGTCTTTCAAAAACATAAAAAATCTTACCAACCCCAAACCTTTGAACAGTAGTAGTGCTATTGTGTTACTCTGTATTCGTCTGGAGCAGCACATGCTGCACAGCACAGCACAGTCATTGAATAGTTTGAATGTGTTTCATTATAGCATGATCAGTGTTAAAAGCTACATGATTCATCTGCTAGACAATGGCATTAATATTCCATTCATCTGGCTGGCCTGTTCAAGTCACCCGCAGTTTAGGCACATAGCAAAACTAGTCAGTTAATAGTCTGTCAATTAAAAATGCAACAAGCAGAACGCACTGACTGACTCACAGGAGGCACGTTTGCTAATACAGACACATGTTTCCTAATGAGGGGCTACTTTAGCCAGCGTTCCGTGAGAACTTTAACATGTTTCAGTACTTGGAGACCTCTACAGCATTATTATTTCATGAGACCTGATATGTGCAGAATGAAATATTGCATGTTTTCTCCCTCACTCTCAACAGGTTTAGACAAGGACTTCAGTTCAGCGAAGGCTCTGTATGAGCGCATGCAGGTTGAGGGGGTGAAGGCTGATGAGTTGACTCTCAAGAGACTGGCGCAACTATACAAGGAAGCTGGAGCAACTGTTCCCTTCGAAGAGCCTCCGGTAATAATCAGTATTCATTAGCAGAGGTGGATAGTAGTGAAGTATTTTTACTTTACTCAAGTCAATTTAAAAAGTTTCTGTAGTTTGAGTGTTTTTCTTTGGAAAACTTTACTTCACTACATTCCAAAGCATACTTTTAAGTCATACTTTTTACTGCACTACATTTCATCAATTAAAGTTGTTGTTTTTTGTTTTTTTTACCTTTAATACTTAAGAACATTAAAAATGTAGTACTTTCTTGTACTGAAGTAAATCTTTGAATTACTTTTACTTGAGTAAATGTAAGAAAGTAATAGATTTCTAATGTAATTAAGTATTAAATTATATTTAATATGAAACGTAGTGCAGTAAAAAGTACAATATTATGCTTTGGAATGTTGTGAAGTACAGTTTTCTAAAGAAAAACACTGATAAAGTGCTGACACTTGAAAATACTTTTACAGCAGAGTAAAAATACTTCACTTCTGTCCGCCTCTGTTCATTAGCATTTAATACATATCGAATATTAACTTGTACGTTTTTTTTTCTTAAATGAGAGGAATCATTTAAACCAAAGTAGATGTTGCAACAGATTGAAATGTTTCTTTTAACAACTACGTGTAGTAAAAATATGTAGTCAAAAATTTAATATTTTCTATTGAATGAGCACAAGATTGTATATAGTAATAATAAATATAAATGTAATAAAAAAATTATAATTTATACAATGTAATTAAGCACAGTATTTACCTACATATTTTTGCTTAGAATTGCCATAGAGATTTTGTTGAACATTTTTGAATGATTATGCAGGCATATTGTTCATTTAGAGTTTTGAATCGATTCAAGTCAGTGGACAGTTTGATCTGACTCACTGAACTTGAACTTGAATGCCATTTTTGCTACAGCTTTATATATTCCGGAATGCATTAAAAAACATCGGTCTTAACACTTTCATACTCTGAAGTCATGAGGCAAAAAAGGCTGGAAAGTGTAGAAGGAAACTTTATGGCCAAATTCTGAGATATTCATGATTTTCATGTCCAGCAAAATCATCACAAATATAGTTTATATTGTTTAGCCCTTCTTACAAATGTTTGGGGTTAGTAAGTATTTAATTTTTTTTTTATAAATTAATACTTTTATTCAGCAAGGATGCATTAAATTGACTATACATGTCTATACTGTCACTTTTAATGTTACAAAGGTTTCTGTTTAAAATAAATGCTGTTCTTGTGAACTTTCTATTGATCAAATAATCCAGTTATTTTAATATTGTATTTTAATAATGTTTCACAATATTACATTTTTTACTGTATTTTTGATTAAATAAATGCAGCCTTGATGAGCATAAGATACTTTTCTTGAAAACATTAAAACATTGTACCAACCCTATACTTTTGAAAAGTATAAGTATTATGCAACAAATTGCCCACTTCAAATCATGAGCATATTCATGAACCGCAAATGCTGTGTACACATTGTGTGGGCAGTTGTGATTTTTTATTTATTTTTTTAACAGTAATTGGATGTCAAGCTGCTTTATTTAATAACCATTTTTGAAGTTGGTTAAGCACTAGTTGATTAGAGTCCAGTTTCATGTCATATTGCTCACCTGAAATACCCCTACTTTTACAGCACCTTAAGAGTCCACCTCACGCTCTCGTGTATTATTTACTATCTGTCAGAACCGTGCTCCGGTGTTTTTCACCAGCGTTAGAGGAGCCTGCCAGCCCTCACGCACCGCTAAGCTCTCAGTGCACCATTTAAGTTCTCACAAAGCGATCTCAGGTAGCACTCCATCCCGCTTCTTCCTCCAGTCCCACGGCCGCCGCTAATACCACAGTACAAAGAGTCTCCGGAGAGACGCAATAAGGAGAGATTTGAGGTGCCGTTCACATCTGGCCTCATTTCTCGCACACAGCAGCTGTTATTTATTGACTTTAATTACCCCATTAATAAGGGAATATACATTGTTTGGAGAAATGGTAATCTTCTAAAAGCACTCACCTTCCAAAAATGGAGAGCGAGTGCGGTTTACAGGCGCCTGTGCTTAATTACGGGAGGGGGAACGAGTAAATATGTTATTTGTGAATTAATACGGTTTGTAAGATGAAACGAGAGCGTAGGATTTGTTTGGACCGTGTGGTTGTTATTAGTTTGCCCCAGAGGGCAGGAAACGCACAACTACACACAACACGCACCCAAAGTACAATTAGTTTAGCCTTTTACTGACTAAAAATATTTTAAAAAAGCTTTGTTTGTTTTTTATGTCCCGCAGGAGTCTTTTCGTTTCTACGCAGACAAACTGAATAAGCAGCGCTCTGAGTCCATGGAGCCGGCCGACAACTAAAAACAACTTGTCATTTATTCTTTTTGTTTTGTTTTTTTACATTCAACATATGTGCACAGCTTGTGTGTTAGTTATACTGTGATTGTTTGTTTGTTTTTTGCCCTTCATAATGATGTCATGATATGGTTAATGTGTACATAGATATTTATGCAAATAAATGTAAACCCAAAAGTTTAGTGGCTTTTTCATAAGTTTCTTTTTAGTCTTTTCTTTTGTTTGTTCCTGAAGTGATTGTCACGCAAGAGATGTTTTTATCAAAATGCAAATATGTTCATAGAAGATGCATTATATTAAACATGGGTGATTTGCGATATGCTTATATAGTCAATTTATGCTTAGTTATAGTAATACATACTATATAATAAACATCTCATTGGAGCAATCATGGAAGCTGTCGTGCATCCTGGTTTTTTTCTGGATTTAACAAAAGTGCAAAAACATACATTATCTAGCTTTTAAAACACAAATGCATTTTTGGTGTGACTTACAAAACCTTTCAAAAGATTTTTGATCTAGCCACATTGGCACAAACTTTCTTAAGCAGTCAAATCTTCTACATGTTTAAATAAATGAACATTTAGACTGCAACAAAGAGAAGCTGTTTATGGATATTTACCAAAGCAGAGCTATAATCTCTTGTCAATTTGAACAAAAGTGTGTAAGGAAAAGAACAGAACATTGCTGCCATCCAGTGGCTATCAGCGGAAGTCTAAAGAGATCTCGGAATGACCTTTGGAGCACCAGCTCTTCTTTTCTGCTGTCTTTACTAGCATGGGTTTGACCTCTGACCTCTCTCATGACAGTATTGTTTAATAAAAATATTTTTAGGATGCTTTAAATATAGAACGTTCAAAAGAGCAGCATTGATTTGAACATTAACAACAGCAGCATTTATTATTCTATAACGTTATGTAACGTTGCTGCATGTTAGTGTTTTTTTGCAGTGCAGCTCATACTCCTGAGGTTGGCTGTCTCAAAGGGAGGTAGACGGCTGATTTCTCTTCTGTCAGGAAGCTCGGGACACTCATTCTGAGAGGATTTGTGCAAGCCAAATGCAGACGGCACAGTAAAAGCTGATGAGATGCCATAGCGGGATGACATTATCTTTCAAGAGCTCTTAGCAAGCTCAGTAGCATCATTACATTTTAAAATTATATATAAATGATATCAAAACAGTTTGAAATCTACTTCTTCAAATGGATCTGCCATGTTTGTCTTTGCAAAAACCTACACTAAAGTCTTATACAAGCATGTCCTTCATTTTAGCAAGCATATACTTTTCCCTGTCAGATATTTTAAGACTACTCGTCCACCGTGTTTATGACCATCAGAGGGGCAAAGTAATGGTGATGAATATAAAAACACATGAAGATTGTATTAGATGAAAAAAAGCTGATCACTGGATTTGATCCATACCAAGTCATACATAACATTTTTATAGACCTCGCGTTAGCACAGCCCCTAACAAATCTCACATCTGTGTACATTTATACAATTCATCTTTTTCAACAGGAATTAAGTTTTTTTCGTGTGATTGTGCGAGACCTCTGAATAATTAGCCGCTTTAGGTAAATAGCTAGAAGAATAACAGTGTGGTAAACAGTACAATTATTGGATTATGGATAAGTCATAAAATAAAAAAAGTCTAAATTGTATGAGATGATAATTCTGACATAAGTCAATTATGAGATGTCAAAATGATGACAAAAAGTCTAAATTATGACTTGTCTTTTTTTTACTTTTTATCTCATGATTTCGACTTATAATAATCACTCATAATTTTGATACTTCATGTCATGATTATGACTTAGCATGTCATTATTGCAACTTGTCGTTCTTGTTTTTTTCTTAGACTTTCATTTTTTATCGTAATTGACTTTTTATCTCAATTTCGACATGTCACGACTTTTCATGATTTCGACTTGTCATAATCATCACTTTCATCATTTTGATACTTCATTATTGTGATTTTTGTCATTCTTGTTTTTTTCTTAGACTTTCATTTTTTATCGTAATTATGACTTTTTATCTCAATTTCGACTTGTCATGACTTTTCATGATTTCGACTTGTCATAATCATCACTTTCATCATTTTGATACTTCATTATTGTGATTTTTGTCATTCTTGTTTTTTTCTTAGACTTTCATCTTTTATCATAATTATGACATCTCATAATTTAAACTTTTTGTCATGATTTTTTTTTTTTTTTCGACTTGTCATAATCACCACGATCATAATTTTGATACTTCATGTCATGATTATGACTTTTGTCATTATTGTGACTTTTGTCGTTCTTGTTTTTCTTAGATTTTCATCTTTTATCGTAATTATGACTTTTTATCTGATAATTTCGACTTTTTGTCATGACTTTTTTCATGATTTCGACTTGTCATAATCATCACTTTCATAAGTTTGATACTTCGTGTCATAATTATGACTTAGTATGTCATTCTTTCAACTTATGTCATCAGTATTTTGTGTTATGTCTTATGATTTACCAATGCATTTTTCTTACGTGGCAGATTTGGACTACCATACATAAATGTGGTGGATATGTCATGTGACTGAAACATGAATAAGTCTAAAAATGTTTCTTTCTCTTAATTGTCCAGAAACAGTTGACACCAAATAACAGACATCTTTTTTAAAGAGACATCTGTTGTTTAAGACTGGAATATTTCCAGTATAAATTTGTTCCTGTGACACTGACCATGTGTTATTTATTTAATTGCTCAATACAAGTAATGTTTGAAACATCAGATCAGTAGTTCTTCTTTTCTTTTCTTTTTCTTCTGGCTATAATCTCTCTCTCTCTCTCAAAGACTCAAATGTGTTCAACATCATGCTGCATTAAAAATATGACAATAGACATGTGGAATCAAACTAATACATCCTAGCTTGTTGATCAGAATGTTGCACCAGTGCAGTGTCTATATTAATTATTAAAAAAAACAAGCATTAGAATTTCTTAATCTTTAACCAAGCTTTCAAAGCTCCTGTAGTGTAGTACACTGTTCAATAATAATATTATACATACAAAACAATTCTGATTTGCAAAAGAAAATAAAAGTAAATACATAAATGAAATCTACATTGTGACATGCTGCAGTAAATTTGTTTAAAGGTACCTACCAAACACGAGTTCTGGTGGTTTACCAGAACCAAAAAACAATTACCGGTAAGTAAACTTAAAAGAGTGTAGAAACATAGTACATTACTGCCATCCAGCGGCAGTTAGCGGTAGTAAAATGTTACGCACGCACGCACACACACACACACACACACACACACACATATATAGCAGGACTTGACAACTACAGCTGGTTTATAAGGTCTGTGCTGTGGATGGGCATTTTATATGTTGGTTTCTAGGCAAGAACAAGCTGCAGTGTGGACCAGACTTGATGCTGATTTGTCCTCTTCACCAATCCTGACTGGACTTCTGTTTAATGAATTTGAGTGACAGATAATAGAGCAGGATGAAAACAAAAGCAACAGCAATAAGCACCAGGTAGCAGGAATACAGTGGATACTGGTTCATTTTCATCATCTCCACAACCTGAAAACAAAGTTGAAAATTTAATGGCATCCATGAATAGAAACCATATAGATGTGCATTTTATATGTCAGCGTTCCTCACCTTAATACCATCGAATTCTACAGTGAGGTTTCCAATAGTGATTGGGATTCTAGTCCCACGAAACTGAACCTGCAGCGTTCCCTCAAAACCCCAGCGCATGAAGGATATGTAAGAAAACCAAGACGCCACTGTTGGTGGTGAAAATCTATATTAATTTTTAAAAAATTCCTGCAGATTTGAATCTAGTATTCATTTGAAATAAAATTCTCAATGATGCTTTTACCCAGCCACATGTTTTCCAGACTAATGACAAAGCCAGCAGTCAGGTAGAAGACCGTGAAGAGTGCGTTGCCCATGAAAGATGAAGTCTGCAATGTTGGCAGGACTGCCGCCACAAATAGGGCCATGCAGCGACTACAATACACCATCAGCCACACCAACAGGAAGTTGAGCAAGAAGCGGTCGGGAGCGCTGTTGAGCCCAGCCAACCAGTAGATGGGCACACCGTATACCAGCGTAAAGGCACAGTGCTCTGGCAGCTCACCAAGGACCTGAAAGAGACACTGGAGCTTGAAGGATCTCATTTAATGTCAAGAGCTGACAAAGTCCAATAGCCAAACAGGAGCTAATATTCAACTCATGGCCTTTCCCTGTCATGTCATTCACCCCTGTCTGAAATGTTATGTAAATCAAATGTAACTAATGTACAAAAGTTTCTATTTCTAAGGGTCTTACTAGAAACATTTATTTACTAATAAACAGAATGGTTAAAGTCTATTAAATTCAACAGACTGGTATGGCTTTAATAAATTGCTTAAATATAGAGTTAATATAGAGTGCTTACATTTTAGACACACTTGCTAGTTACTTTTTTAACACTATAGCAGTGTTTTATTCTCTAATGAATCAGTATCTTTGAATGAATTAATTCGGGGAATGATTCAATAAATCATTCATAAAGACAGTCATTTGTTTTATTTTAGTGTCATTTATATTATAGTATTTATTCATATCTGGGATTAACCTTATTTTTATATTTTTTGCTTTCATTTTAACTTTAGTTTTAGTAATTTTGTTATGTGTTTGTTACATTTATTATTTCTTTTTAATTAATGTAATATTATTTAAACTTTAATTTATTTCAATTTGAGTTTTTGTAATTTTTCAGTTAGTTGTCCAGGAAACAGTTCTAATTTTTGTTAGAAAGCAGTTTTTAAGTTTAATCTAATCTTAAATGTTTTTCATCTAATATTTATGTTTTACTTCAGATTTATCTCACATACCAAAATCAATCTTTAATAGTTCAAGATTTAATTAATAATAACAACCCTGCTGTTTAGTCCCTGAATGAATTGGTGCATTTGAACAAAATGGTTGAGTGAATGATTCAAATGACTCACTTAGAAAGACATTCACTTATCGCCACCTACTAGCATAATGATGTGACTCGAAGAAAGAGTCACTGAACAATCCACACTACTAAAGCACAAGCTGACAGTTTGTCTGGAACATGTAAACAAGGATAAGTGGAATGATACAAACTGAGCACCGCACAGCCAATCAAATCCAAGAACCGAAATTAAATGTTGTATAATAACATTGCACATTGTTCAGTCGTGCGTCTAATGTAATGCATTTTACAAAACCCAAGTCAAAAAACTGATCAATACTTTTGACTCTGTAACTACCCGTTCATGAAAAATGTGTGAAGCTCTGCCATGTCCCAAAGGTCTACACATCGACACCACTATCATTCCTGAAGCTCTTACATAATGCAGTTTATTTACCTTGGCAAAAAAGTATGAGGTGACTGAGTACATGCCATCTTCCAGTTCATGATAAAGCATGGCTCTCTCTGAATGACCTGTGAAAAACAACATATTATGCCACTGGACACCAAAATAAAGAAAGAAATCTTCTGTAATTTACTCACACTTTGCAATGACGTCCAGCACCGCAGCAAAGGGTGTCAGAGCTCCTATCATGTAGAGCAAAGCCACCGTATCTTGGACAGAAAGACCCTGATCCCCAGCCCCGAAATAAAGGAAACCGATGAGCAGTGACATCAACAAGGCTTCCAGACCATGAACCACCAACGTCACCAGATCTCGGTAGTCATTAAATACCTGCCGTCTAAAAAATGAAACGGCATTCAGAAGACGAAATTTTGCAATAAAAAGTGTTTTCCACTTTATTTACTTGATTAGGCTTGTGAACTGTTGCAGTTTTCCCGGCAGGCGATCCTTCTGTTTGGAAACTGTGATCACAGATTCCTTCTTCGAGACGGGAGGAACACTGCTGGGGTAGAAACTGTATCATCAGCTCTTGTGCGTTTCATTTTCATCGATACAGTATGAGAGATTATTATAAAAGATTTAAGAAAAAGCCTCAGTGCGAAAGTACAAATACCAATTTGATTATTGAAATTTACCTTTGAGGGGCATCCAGTGCCAGAGAACCGCAATCTTCTGATTTCCACATGAAATCCTCTGTGTTCTTCACCTTCTCTACAAACTGGGCCGCTAACATCCTGGCTTTCTCCAAACATTGTGCTTCTTTTTCAGGACTGCGCCGATCAATGCTTATCAAATCCACTGCATGAGAAAGTCACAGTTCAGACACAACAACTGGACCACATGCTTAACTATAGACATCAGTTCTCTGTCCCACTCACCGTAGTAGTCAGAGGGGTTGCAGTATCGTGGACACGGGTACCCAAGAGAAGTAAAGTAAGGTACCATGTCCTTGGCCTGACCGCAGTACACGGCTGAGCCAGAAGACAAGAGCACCACCAGGTCAAAGAGCTGAAAGATATCTGAACGAGGCTGATGGACTGACAGCAAGACCAGGCGGTTCCCTCGAGCCAGACGGTACAATGTAATGACCAAATTATGGGCTGTGAAGCTGTCTAGACCTGAAGTAGGCTCATCTAGGATGAGAATACCTGAAAACACGTATAAAACATAAGCAAAGGTTTTGACAAATGCTATTTTAGTATGATGAGCTATTATTATAGTTTTTATCAATATTTTGAATTTGTTTTTATTTTTACGTTTTCTGCTTCCTTTTTCATTTTTAGTAATTGAATAGTAAATGATTCAATAGTAATTTAATCATTTTTATTGTGTTTTTGTTATTATTATTTTTTTTTATATATATATAGCCTATAGTTTGTATGACTTTTATTTCAGTTTTATTTAATCAATCAATTTAATAAAGTTAAACAAAATTAAAATGAGAGGTGTTGCCTTGGTAATTAGCTGAAATTTTAAAAATGTTTATTTTTTATATTTTACTTTATTTTAGTTCATGTAATATAGTATAAGTAATGGAAATATTTTTAAGGTGTTTAGAAATATGCATGAAGTGGTGTTTGCAACCCATTTTGCTTTCATAATCTACTTCTCTAAATCTAGAGTATTTAACATTCTGTACGGTAAAACTTCATCTAACAGGAAATGAGTAGGTTGTTCAAAAGTGAAGTCAACTAAAAGAAAAATTGTTTCAGAGGTGGAAGAAGTCATTACATTTTATAATTTCATTATCATTTTAAAGTTATTTTATTAATTACTTTTTATAGTCTTTTAGTGTGATTAGATTCTCACCAGTAGGTGGCGACAAAACTTTTGAGTCCAATTCATCGATTTGTTTAAAAGAGAGTCCTCAGCCGATTCTTCAAACACACTGATTCATTGAGGAACGCCATTACTGTGTTGCATGGATGTGTCACGGTTCTGCTTTAACTATATGGTTTAAAGGGGTCATCGGATGCAAAATTCACTTTTACATGTTGTTTGAACTGAAATGTTTGTTGGCAGTGTTTGTACACATCCACCCTATAATGATAAAAATCCACTCAGTGTTTTTTTTTAACCCCTATAAATAATATCCCCTTTCTCAAATCAAGCCTTTCTCAGCTTCTTGGCTGTGTGACGTCACACAGATCCAGGCCCCTCCCACGATTGTTGATTGACACTAGCGTTTTACTAGACCCGCCCTGAGTGAGCTGTCATCAGTCCGCCATTGTTTTGACTCCGGAGCAGGAGTAGACAAGAATGTCTTCTAAGAGATTGAGGTGTTCTGTTGTTGGATGTAATAATGAATTTAGCATTCGTCGTTTACTCCCGACATCTGAGCCGCTGAAGACGCAGAGGATTACGTTTGTTTTTGAAGGGAATGCTCCCCCGATCTACCTAAATGCATTTATGTTCGCGCGAATCATTTGTGATCCAGCCTCACCTACAGAAAGGTTTTTTTATGAATCTTTGCAAATCGCCTTTCCTAATAACGTGCTAGTTAGCAAGTTCAGCGCTAAATGCGCTAAATAGTAGGGATGGGCGTATCGATCCGAAGTATCGATATATCGATATTGACGCGAGTATCGAAAGTATCGATACTAAGGTGTGTTTTATTTACTAGTGATTTTATTTAAAATAATAATAATAATGCGTACAAATGCATTGAATTGGACGAATAACCTTTGTTCGCAAGTAATTGTGTAGGATAGAGCTATTTTCCTGCTCATCTGAACACACGCAAATGTTGCAAGACAGAACCAATCCAGAGGACAGAAAAAAACATATGTTTGAGTTATTTCACAATAAACAAATTGAAATCGTAACCTACATAGTTTGTACAGTTACATTTACTTAAATTGAACGTTGAAAGTTGAAAGATATCATGTTCTATTCTGTAATGTTAATAGAAATCATACACTGTCAGAACAAATAGGTTGCAGGTTGCATATGCAACAGCCTGTCACTGGCAGTCCCTTATGATAATGAACCATGGTTTTACTAAAGTGACTGTAGTTCAACTGTAGTATTTGTAGATTTGAATCATGTGTAAACAAAAAACACATTTGAACCATGTGTAAACAAAAATATAACCTAATAAATTACAATTAAGGCGTATTGAATGTTAAAATGTGTTTTAAACAAAGTTAAGTGGTTATCATTACCCATTTTACTCTTAGTAATTTAATAAATTTCATCATTTAAAAGTTTAGTTCAGAAGTATCGTATCGGTATCGATATTGACGATACTGCCTTGAAAAATTTCAAAATATCGGTATCGTATCGAAAACAAAATAAGTGGTATCGCCCATCCCTACCGCTCACGCGCGGATTTCCTTTGCTCTTGCACAAAACCGGACGCACGTGCTCAGATACAGCTGCTCTCGCCCAGAGTGTGTGCACGCACTTAAAACGTGTCTCTCCTCTCACTCAAACTGTGTCCTGTGCACTCTCAAATCTCTCTGTGCTCATG